CATCCCTGAAACAAGCACAAAATAGCTGCTCAACTAAATATTCCTTACGTAAGGGTTTGGAGACGTTTGAAGGATCAGCTGTTTAAACCCTTCACTTAACAACGGTTCAAGAGTTAATGGTTGAAGAATATCCTAAAAGGATTGGATTTTGCGATTTTATTAGAAATATTTTGTTTACCGACGTAGCTACCTTCAGTAGAAATGAAATAACAAATCATAACGAGCACATTTGGGACGACGAAAATCCTAACGCAAAAAAACTACTCATTACCAAACGACTTTCAAAGTTATTTTTTGGACAGGAATTGTGGATAACAATCTAATAGGTCAGTATTTCTTCCCAACAATTTAAATGGTGATAATTATTTGCTGTTCTTGGCAAACGATTTACAAGAGTATTTGGAAGAAGTGAATATTGCAATAAGGCAAAATATGTGGTTTCTACAAGATGGCGCTCCACCGCATTACAGTAATGAACTCCGGGAATACTTTTGCAGGCAGTATCCTAGTCGGCGGATTGGAAGGGGTCGTGACGCACCTATTTCTTGGACACCCAGAAATCCAGGTCTTAACCCCATGGACTTTTGCTTTTGGGGGTTTATGAAAGATAATGTGTATTTTGTAACAATAGAGGACGAACAACAATTGGGGGTTAGAATAATTAAAGCTGCAAATGAATTTCGTCAGAAAAATATGATTTTTCAGCGCATTCGGTTTTCCTTATTAAAACGATAGGGGAACCTGGCCTAAAATGACATACTACTTTTTTGTCGTCCAATAACTTTTTTATTTTTTTAATAAAAATTTAAAAAAAAACATAAATGTTGTTCATTGTTTGGAAGTAGAACAGATCATGGAACATAAAACTCTAACAACACAATATTTTTTAATTAAAAAAAGGAAACAAAATAAACGTTGCTATGTAATTTTATCCAAGTATATTCGGCTAAAACGACACACTCACATGGATAAAATGTCATATAAACTAAATTAGCAAAGTTCACAAATAAATTTTTTGCACGATTTTGAGATACCAGCACAATCACAGTGATTGTGCCTTGAATGGGAGTACAAACTGTTACAATATAAACATGGAGGATTATTTTCGTCTTCGTCATCATCTGACACAATGGTCTTTGTTTTCTCCTCACGATCTTGTGTCATTAAAGTCAGATTCTTAATTGCTCGCTTTGCAGCTTGACGTTTTTCTGTAGCTCGCTTCTCGAGTGATTTGGCTTTTTGTTCTTTCATATTTGGGGTAGCCGTTAGAACTTTTGTTCCTTCTGATTTTCTTTTTTGGAGCGTGACTGGACACCTGAACACGATGGAAGAGGTGAAATGTCAAGTGGACGAATACCAGGATTAATTGAAGAACAACTTTCAAGTAAGTTTGGTCTAGGTGTAGGAACCGGTTTGTTTCCTTGATCTGGAAACTCTTGATGTCGCAAAACATTATCATTCTCTTCTTTTGACTCTGTTAGGGGTTGAATTGCAACTTCTTCTTGAATATCTGTTATTTTGGAAGGATTAAATAAATAATCAGGGAATATGTCGGGATTAAGGGGCCAAATTCCAGTCTTTAAAAATCCACTAACGGCATTTTGGTGTGTAGCTGCTTTTCCATACGCTGTAGCAAATAATCCTTCAACTTGGTATTCCGAAACTGTTCTGCCTAGATGACACTTCATCCACTTGGTAACTTCTTGATCATAGTAGCTCTTTAATGGACCAAAGAAACACACATCTAACGGCTGTAGACGATGGGTACGGTGCAGCGGAAAACACAATATCACTATTCCATGTTCTTTGGCAAAAGTTAAAACATTAATGTTTTTATGGTTCGCATGCCCATCAAGCAACAGCATAACCTTGTCTTCTATAGAAGGATTAGAATATTTTTTAAAATGTTTCATCCATGTAAGGAACATTCGCCTGTCATCCATCCTGTTTCCTGTGCTATTCCTAAAGGCGCTTCATCTATTAATTCTTTTTTCCAATTTTTCCTGGGGAATATAAGTGTTGGTGGAACATAATTCCCCACTGAGCTAATGCAAACAACCATCGTTATGTGCTGCCCTTTTTCCGCACTTGTAATTAGGCCCACTTGCTTCCGACCCTTAGTTGCAAATATTTTGCCGGGTTTTTGAACCGTGGATAGGCCTGATTCATCCACAATCCATATGCGTGTAGGATTAATTTTGTTATTTGTAATAGTATCCTCTAAAAGTTTAAAAAAATTGGCAATTTGCGGCCTGTTGAATGATTGCGCTCTTGCTGCAGACGTGGACTCGGGTTTTCTAGGGGATATATCGGGGTGCCTAGACCGAAACCCTCGTATCAAATCCCAACCAGCCATCTTAGTGGTTGTGTTAAATCGGTGTACTATTCCATTTCGATCTGCTAACTGGTAGGCTAAAGAACGAACGTCATCACAAGATAATCCAAACAAACTTGATTCTAGGAGTTCTATGTGTGTTACGAGGTCTCTTTCTAATTCTACAGAGAACGTAGTTTCGTACCGGCCAAGACCTTTATTAGTACCTGATACCCGTTTATTCTTGTCTGATGCTCGTCTTCTTAAAGTAGCTTGGGGCACATTAAAAGTTATCGATGCTTTTAACCAGCCCATGTCTCCACACTGGACTGCCTGGATGGCTCTTTGTATTTGTACTGGATCCCAAGACTGGCGTGTACTTTTCCTTTCCTAGTGTCCCACCATACTAAAAAAGAAAAATGCCATACATTAATATTCTACCTACCATATTATTATTAAAATTTATTTGGGCAAAATGACATACTATGTCATTTTACCCGAGTATTTAATATGTCGTTTTACCCAAGTATTTAATATGTCGTTTTACCCAAGTGTGAAGAAGAACACGTTTTTTACAATAAATTTTTTGTTTAAACAAACAAAGCTTCCAAACATGATGTTTCTCTTAATATGAATAACAATATATACCTGGAACTAACAGAGATATAAAATTTTAAAGTTTTAAACGTTTTATAGCGAAGTATACGTCGCCTACCAAAATATTTTGGTACTCAATAAAGCACAAACCACCTTTTAACAAGTAAACGACTGAACTGATCGCGACGTCCGTTGGAACATCAATTATGCACCACGTGATGCTGTTGTATAAAACTTCTTAGCGCATAGCCATGTTGCCAAGTTAGAGATACACCGGATGTGTCATTTTACCCTAGTATGTCATTTTGGGCCAGGTTCTCCTACCTAATGTGTATTGAAGAAAATGGGGGTCATTTTGAACATTTATTGTAATATTATATTTATAGAGGTTATAGACATTTTTTGTAATTCATTTAAGCCATTTATTTAGTTGCACATAATTTTTTAAAGGTTAATGAAGAGGGCCGTAACTCAATAAAAATTGTTTCTTGAAAAAGTGATAAAAAGCAAAAAATGTTTAAAAATAATGTGTTAAACTAATGATGCCACAAAATTCATTTGATTTGAACATAATCAAAAATTTGAGGGGATTTAGGGCTGCACACCCCCCTTAAAATTTTTCTGTGCGCTTAGATTTTGTTGTTTCTTTTGTATGAAAAATGCTTTCAGAACAAGAAAGTAACGTATCTATTTCTATTACCAAATGCCAAGTAGTTTAGGAGATAATGCAAAAAACCAATTGGTACTAGTGTAATAAGCCGGAACCATGTTTACGGAGATGAAATTTATATTAATGAATTCTGCTTCACTTTCTAATGATTGTGCAATGACTTTTATGCGGTGCAAGACGTTATTTTTTATGTAATTTCCATTTAAAAAATGCCCGATTTTTAAAAGCCTCCGCCATTATTCACCATTATTTACCATGAAACAACAAGAAATGACAGGAATGACAACTGTTTCTTATGGTCAAAAATGGTAATTTTAACCAGTGTTGCCATAGTTACTCAAAATTATGTTTTCTAATGAATTTCAAATTGGTCATTAAAATAACATTTTATTATTACCTACTTTTAACTGAAAATTATAGCTTTTTTACAAGGGTCAGGTTAGGTTTGGTTACGTGTCTTTACGTTTATTATCATATCTTCTTATGAAAAATAAAAAATTTGATTTTTAATTGTATTACAAAATTTTATTCTTATTACTGCTTTTTTACGAGCGTTAGGTTAGGTTAGGTTGGTTTAGTTTTATTGTCATGTTTTCCTATTGGGTTAGATTTGGTATTTTGTTTATTATTTAAATCTTGATTATTTTAAACAATTTTACGCATTTTTTCATAATTGTACAGTAAATATAGTGATATTTAATATGTTTTAGTTACATTTTTTTTATTATGACATGTATATATACTTTTCTTTGCTTTTTATGTAATTTTTTTTGGTTCATATTACTTTTTTTTGGTATTTTCTCTGATTTTTTTGATTATTTGGGCACTTTTAATAGTTTAAAGCAAAGAAAACATTAAAATTTGAGGTTTTTTCACTTTTTCGGATGTCCATAAAAAATTGGGCATTTTTAAGGCGTTCCGGCTTAGTAAATAATTACCGTTGGATTCAATCAATTTATTTTTGTCCCCGGAATGCGTGATCTAATTTATGATATACCTTTTTGAAACACCCTGTATAACTCACTCTGTATAACTAGCATTCTTAAGAACAATAGGGCAGATTCTTTAAAAATTTTGGCAACTTTCTCTCTTTATATAATTTGCATCAATATTCTCACAAATTTGTCGATCTATTGAGGAAATATATTTTTGGTAAGAATTGTATTGTGGCCATGACCCCGTGACCTAAACAAATCATTGCCTTCCTCAAGTAGGCGACTTTTACTCGCCAGTATACGGCGACACTGTAGCGCAGGATCTGGTTCTTTGATCAATATTCACCATAAGCATGGTGCGCCGTGAACGTGGAATTACTCCTGCTAGCAGGCACTTTTTGCGCTCGCAAAACACATCCAACTGATAAGATAAGAATATTTACGGACAGGTACTTACTGTGGGTACCTGTCAATACTTACTTCCAGTGAATTTTCGGTGAATTCGGTGTATGCAGTGCCGCTAGTGAAAGTTACATAAAGAGTGTGCACAATGACGGCCGTAGAGCTGTATACAAAAGTAAGCGACTTCGTTTTTTTTTTCTCCTTGTAGTTTTTAATCGAAAACCAGTTTTACATTGTCAATATTGTGGATTTATTGTGTGGCATTTCATTTGTTATCTGTTGTTATCCGACACTTAGTCACGTTAATATCTTTTAAAATGTTTATTCAAGTATGGCACGACAGCGATACATTTTTATAAATAATAACTAAGTTGACACAAAAATAGAAGTAATTTGTTTTAAAAGTTTGCATGTTTAATGGGACTGTCGCTAGGCAAAAATAAAAAAGTAAAATATTGGCAAAGCATATTTAAATAATGAAATTGTAGGTAATCATGATGTAATCGATTTCATGCCCAAAGTGTTATTTTCTATGTAATCCAATTAAACGCAATATAAACGCTAGATAAAAAATGTAACCCTTATACAATATGAGGGAGGCTTGTCGAAAATAAAAAAACAGGACTATGATTTTTTTTCTGGTCGTAATATCTTTGATTATTACTTTTTAAGAAGAATTTCTATATTTAGCATTACAGAAGAATCATTACTTTACATTAACTTCGTCTTGTTTCGTTTCACGCTGATTTAACCCTTTAACCCTTAACTGGTATCCCAAGAAAACAATACATATAAGGTATGGCGGGGTCATATTTGACCTTTGGATTATTTTGTGTAAATAAATAAAAAATTAAGCAAATTATAATGTGAAAGTATTATATTAATGATTATAACACTGCATAAACCAAACAATTCTATATCACTTACTACTAGAAAGAAATATATGGGGTTGACTTAAAAAATCACTCGTATTAAATAACGTTTAAATAAAGGATCAAAAACCTAATGAAAAATATTTAATTATATACAAAAACTTAACAAAGAAGTATGAACATGATGATAACTACTTAATATTACACCTACTACAAAAATTTGATGTAAGTAACACAATGGTTTTTACATACAGTGTTTTTCACCCTTATTACATCTAAGTGATTGTTTATTATCATTATCATCATCATCATCTTTGGCTCGACAATCCTCTGTGGATCTTGGCCTGCTCTAAGATTCGTCGCCATTCTGTTCGGTTTTTGGCAACATGTTGCCATCTTCTGACTTTTAATATTCGTAAGTCGGTTTCTACTCCATCTAACCACCTAATTCGCGGACGGCCTTTACTTCTTTTTCCTACAGGTGTTCCTGTGGTTAGCTTTTTAGCAATGGTATTTTCTGGCATTCGTATTATGTGTCCAGCCCATCTAAGTCGCTGTGTTTTAATGAACGTTATGACATCTGGCTCATCAAAGAGCTGATACAATTCAAAAATATATCTTCTGCGCCACTGCCCTTGGTCGTTTACAGCTCCAAATATTTTGCGGAGTATTTTACGCTCAAATATTCCCAAAAGTCTTTCATCTTTCTGCGTTAGTGTCCATGTTTTTGCTCCATATGTGAGGACCGGCCTCAGCAATGTTTTGTATATAACAATTTTAGTTCTTTTTTGAATGTTTCTTGAGTGGAAATGATTTTGGAGTCCATAGTATGCCCTATTTGTAAGATTTATTCGTCTTTTGATTTCTTCGCTTGTTTTATTGGTAGCAGTCAATAGCGACCCAAGGTATGTGAAGTTGTCAACACGTCCAAAGGTATGACTTCCAAAGACTGTTTCTTGTTCCTCATTTGCTATCGGATCCTTTGTAACCAACATGTACTTGGTTTTGTCTTCGTTGATGACTAGACCGACCTGTTTCGCCGCTGTTTCCAATTCTAGGAGATATTGCTATTTCGCTTGCTACGCCCTACTATGTCAATGTCATCAGCATATGCTAAGACTTGTATCGATCTATTGTAATAGTACCGCCATCCCTAATTCGTGTATCTCGGACTGCCTTTTCTAAGGCAATATTAAATAGGAGGCAAGCCAGAGCATCTCCTTGTCTGAGTCCATCCTTTATCTCAAAGGATCTAGAACTCTCTCCCTGTATTCTAACAGTGGCTTCTAAGTTAGAATTGTCATTCTTGTTAGTCGGATAAGTTTCTCTGATATACCAAACTCATGCATTGATTGGTATAGCACTGTTCTCTTGACACTGTCGTATGCGGCCTTGAAGTCGACGAATAGGTGATGGGTTTCAATATTGAATTCTAATGTTTTCTCAAGAATCTGTCTTATTGAATGAATCTGGTCAATTGTTGATTTTTCTGGAGTGAATCCAACTTGATATTTACCAACTATGCCCACTGTGTAAACTTGCAACCTTTCGTAGAGAATATTTGCTAGTATTTTGTAAGCAGTTGTTAACAGGGTTATACCTCTATAGTTGTCACACTGGAGCTGGTCACCTTTTTTATGTAACGGGCATATCACGCCTTGAGACCATTCACAAGGCATGGTCTCATTATGCCAAACAAGAAGTAAAAGCTTATGCAGTGTCTGTAGTAGGGCATCGCCACCATTCTTGTAGAGCTCACTGCAAATTTGATCAACTCCTGGTGATTTATTATTTTTAAGCTTTTTAATAGCTTGGGCAACGTTTTCGATGGTAGGTGGTCTTTCGTTTCGGTTGAAAGGAATCCAATCATTTCTATTTGCTAGGGTGCTGTCTGCTTCTTCGATATGATGGCCATTAAATTTTGCATAAAAAAATTCAACCCATCTGTTTAGGATTGAGGCCGTATCATTTAGGATGTTTCCTTTAGCGTCCTTACAGCTCCTTATTCTTGGCTTAAACTCTTTGCGCATTTTGTTTAGATTTCTGTAGAACTTTCGAGTTTCATTTTGATTTCTTAGCCATTCTGTGCTTTCCAATTGCTTTTGCTCAAATTGTCTTTTTTTTCTTCTATGTAATCGTTTTTCTTCTCTTCTTAGTATCCGGTATTCTTCCTTTGCTCTTCTTGTGCATCCAGCTTGATTTGTCTTTAGGTATGCCCTGTTTTTGTTTTCTGTTGCTTCTTGGCACTCCTTGTCAAACCATTCGTTTTCTTTAACTAGTTTGGTTTTCCCCAATATTTTTGTTGCTTTCTCAGTTATTATGTTTTTACATTTTGTCCACAGTTCCTCTACATTTTCCCCCGCCTCCAGGCTCTCCATTTCCTCGTCCATTTGTCTCCTATACTCTCTCGCAACGGTTTCAATGCGCAGATTATCAACATTAATTCTGTCTTGTTTCGTGTGTTTATCTTTCTTTAGGTTTGATATTCTTCCTCTGATTTTTGCCATTACAAGAAAGTGGTCACTGTCAATGTTTGGGCCTCGGTAGCCTTTATTATCATTACGTGGGCAAATATAACATCTCCCATGTTTAGGAGCTCTTTGCCTTGCCTGGTTTTGGTCGTCTACCGGAATGTGGCCAACTTGACGAATAAGTTCTCTCAATTCTCTGGGAATATTTACCATAACAGCACGCCGAACTAAGTGATTGTGTATTAGTTGTTTACCTACATCAATCAAGAATTTTTGCCGTGTCAACCCAGATCCTGGATTAGCAGCGTTATATAAAACATGTCCATTGACACCAGCAACATCCATGATCCGAAACCAAATAGCTTGTGGCCATCTTCTAGTACGCCGTCCTACTTTTTAGTTGGCAAAAGTTTGATCCAGTACATCCACCCCAACTTTGGTAATGTTGTAAAAGTCTATAATATCCGGTAGTTTCTTAGCTGTCTCCAATACTTTGTTGTTATGATGGAGACTGGACACTAGACAAACGGATCGTTTTTTTTTCGGTACGTAGGACACTAGGGTCACGTCTTTAGTAAATCCAAAAATTGATGAATAAACCGGACGTTGATTATTCGGTAAAAACTCCATTGGCAAATCTCTTTTATTTTTCCACATAGTACCAACGTAAGTAAGTTTACAGCGGCGTAGCTCTTCAACAAGCTCTAGTGAAGAAAACCAGTTGTGACCAGTTACATTGCGATTGGAATTTACTATTGGTGCAGTGAGCGAAACAACATTTAATGTTGGTATGAATAGCTTTTTTGGATTAGGTATTGCATCTTGTTTTCCAGTATAAAAAAAGGCATTGATTAGATAATGAGTACGGGCGTCACACGGCGTCACATTATTTTGAGTCCGTATTTTTCAGGCTTACTCTTTAAGGTAAATGTACTAGTAGTTGACATTATAAGAAGAAAAAAAAAACATTATTTAGCCTCAAACCGATGTAGATGAAATTAAATAAAAAATATATGTATATTCAGGTAATCTAATCCTTCCTGAATATTTAACAAATAAATTTTTGGACAAGTCTGCTTTCTAAATATTTTTTATAAAATTTACAAAAATTGTTGCAAAAGTGTCAGTAGTTGACACAACAAAATGAAAAAAAATTAGTAGTTGACACATCCAAGGTTTAGTAATTGACACCCAAATATATTTTGATAATTTTATTAAGAATATGTAATTACAGGAGAACTTTAATGTTAGATGTTTCCACATCCACTGAATCTGGAAACTGATACTTTATTCTTTCTCATGAAATGAGTATCTGAGGTTGGGGCATCCTTTTGCAGGTTTTTGAGGATTTGATAAGGATTTGAAAATGTTATTACGCTCACATCTTTATCATTAATTCGAAAAGAAGTTTTACTGTCATTTTACTGCTACCAGATTCAACCTATGATTCATTATTATCACTTGATGATTCTTCCTTTTTCTTACTTACTTTTTTTTCGTCGCTTTCAGTTTCTGTTTTTTAACAAAGTTTTTTTCTTCTCTTTTCTTTTGTCTCTCTTCTGCTCTTTTCTGTTTTTCTTCAAGAAGCTCGATCTTCTTATTTTCTTTATTTTCATGATAAGTTTGCCATTCTTTTGAACTAGCCACAGAAGGAACTTTTTCCACTCTTCTTTTTTTTACTGCGGATACTCTGGGTTCAGGCCAAAACAGTATTCATTTAAAAGGAGAGGGTATAATTTCATTTGATGTAGAAGGTGTAGGTAATTCTTCAATTGCTGAAGATGGAACTTGTGATTGTGTTAATGAAGAAGCACAAGTGTCTTAAATAATAG